AGCATGAATTTAGAAACAGGCAAATTCTATTTCTGAGTTGCATCACTGTCCGGTTGCTGGCAGTAAATGAGGGAGTGTGTTCTGCTTTTTAATTGCTGTAAGCTGAAATTTAGATATTCCTTTTTTACTGCTACAGATTGTCCTTTGTTAGCCCTTCATGGGGGGCTGGCTTGAGAGGACTTGTTTGGTTGAGACCACTAGCTCAGTGTACTTTAAACTTCATTAAAACTGTGTACAGTGAATGTAACCTTTGAAACTTTAATCAGATTCTGGTGTCAAGAGAAATAACTCAATCTGTTTTCTGTGTGTTTGTAAGTAGATAATAGATGTGGAGCATGATCCCAATGCAGGAGACTCGCTGGAGTACGATGCTGAGTGGATTGCAATCCTCAAGGCCACCAACAATCTTGTTAATGTGACCCAGAGCTCCTGGAACATGCCTGAAAATAATGGCCTCCATGACAAGTAAGTAGTCTGCAAAATAGAGATGAAAGTGTAGTTTGTTTGTTTGATTTTCTGGACTGGAAGTAAAGTTATATTGGAGTTGTGTTTCTGTTCTGCAGCCTGTAGGACTGGCTAAATGCCTTGGAAAGAAAAGGGGATATTGGCAAAAGATGTAGTCTAAAGCATACAACTTCTTTAATGTTCTACCTTGGCAGTTAGTTTTGTTTTGCAAACTTAGATACCAGCACTTGAGGGACAGAAACTGTACCATGAGGTATAGTTTTTCTCTGAAAATCAGGCTGGGTTATAGGCATGGGTTGACATAATACACTAATCCTTGGTAGGGAGAAGGGTGTCTCAGTACTGACCAAAAGCAAATGAAAACCTTCCTGAAAAAGTACTTGAGGAGTAAAGCATCTATTGTGAGATGAATTTATACTCCATCTTTGAAGGCTGCACTCTGTGGTGGGAACAGGCAGTACCTTTTGACTTGCTGCACTTATTTAAACTTTATGCACTTGTTTAGGTGGGATTACAGTGTGACAGAAGAAGCCATTAAAGAGGTGTTAGAAGAGCTGAACCATGACCTCAAAATTCCTTGCAACTTCACATTGACAGCTGCTTGTTACGATCCCAGCAAACCCCAAAAAAACATGGAGCCAGTTCATACCATCAATCCACAAACCACTGAGTTCTGTGCCCAGTTTGGCCTCACTGACATCAATGACAGGATCCAGCAGGCTAAAGAAGAGAGCTCAGGACGAGGTGGATGTGAAGAGGAGGAGGAAGAGGAGATGGACAGTGCTGGGTCAGCCGAGGAACCCAGTGAATACACTACAGATAATTCTGGCCTCTCATCCTTTAATCCAGATGAAATAATGCTGGATGAAGAGGGTGGTGATGAAGACCTGAGTACATGTTCTGTAGATCCCTCCCCTGATCACGCTCCTGAGTTCTCCACGAGCTTCTCCGACATCCGGATCATGCCAGACTCCATGGTGGTGTCGTCTGACGATGCCACGGACTCCAACAACGAGGAACTGGAGAAGTCTGGTGGGAGCAAGCAGGTGGAGGAAAAGAGCTCCACTGAGAGGCCGTTAAAGCGCATTGGTGGTGATGAGAACGGGGACAGCAGCGTTAAAAAAATCAAGAGAAGGAACCAAGCTATCTATGCTGCAGAGGATGAAGATAAAACAGATTAATAGTTCACAGGGTGTGTAACTAAGTTCTCCAAGCCTTTCTGTGGGAAGGTGGTGAGAATTGTACTGGACCACATGTGCTTTTAATGTTACATGATCTTAGTCATGTTACTTTCCTTACCTCAGAGGCTGGACGTACTTCTTGCAGGGAGGTTGATTTACACAGAATAGACATCAAAGAAAGAAGCTGAGGCTTTTCCAACAAAGTACTTTGTCAAAGGATGTAAAGCTGGTATATCCTTGATTTTGCTTCAGTTCTTGGTGTATGGTGTACACTTCATATCTTCAGCTGAACAAGACTCACCATGCTTGTTTAACAAGAACTCAAACTGTAGCCTGAGTCCAAGCAAGAGGATGTCTGACTTACAAGACGGAATGATTTTATTTTATTGCTTTTATCTTGTTTTATACTGGATTATTAATACAAAGTAGCATATGCAGTAACCCTGTGAAATTTGAAATTAGAATTCCCATGATAACAGAACAGCAACAGAAGAATGAAGATTTTTGTTTCTGGTGATAGTCATGCCACAGAAAAACTTTGTGGTCATAAACAGAAAAATATGTGTTGTCCAGGATTGGCTTTTAATTACAGTTCTGATAGCAAACCAAGTCTCTTGCTTTGGAAGATGACGGTTTTATGGGGACCATGGAAGGGTGCATTTCTGTTCTTAAAAACTCTTTTTTGTTCTATTTCTTAAAACTTGAGAACGATGTCTTAAAATGAAAGTAGTTAGGAAGGACAGCTTCCTGAATGTGGTCAGCACCACTATCTCACCTCTGACTAATTAGGGCTGAGTTTGGTGTTGGTGCAAGGCGGTGGGTGTGTACTGTGTCTGAGACAGTAACACCTCCCATTATCATTAGAGTCAACTTTCACTTGTCATTTCAGTAGCTGTAACTTGCTGAACTCTTAAAACTGGATTTAAAATCTTCCAAAGCACCTTCGTAATCTTCAGCTGAGGGAGAACTGAGGAGTTCAGGTGTTTTTTTTTTTGTGGGTTTTTTTTTTTTTTTTGTTTGTTTTTAAATTTTTGTTTTCAATTTGTTTTTAAAATAACACCAAAGAGCTGTGCTGAGCTCCTCAGCTGCCAGAATAGAGACCCTCTTGGAAGCTTCCTTTTTTTTTATTCTTGCCCCAAATTATCAGTAAATGGCACTCCTTTGGCCTGAGAGGCACAGGGATAAAACTGAGTGAACTCATGAAAATGACAATGTTTTCAAGCATATGTCATTAGACTCATTAGCCTTCCTGACAGATGGAATTCTTAGATGGAATTCTTCATGGCCGTGCTGCCCTGCCCCAAGAGCAAAAGTAGCTCCTGTGCTTTTCCTCCTCCAAGGTACAGGCACTGAGAAGGGAGAAGTCATCCTGACAGGAACAGGGAACTGGACAGGGAGCAGTGAGTGAAATACATTCGTGAGTGTGAGTTGTGTATCGGGGTTGGCAATTCATCTGTTTTTAAATCACTTCCATGGTCTGGAGTTCATCTTGCTTCCTCTCCTGTCAGGCAGTTCATTACAAAAACGAAACATGTTAAGTATTCAAGGGCTAGAAAAGGGCATAATTAGTGCTCTCAACAGTTCAATTAACAGCTCATCTGTCAAAACAGCCACCAAAGAGCTGTGCTGAGGTATGAGGAGAAACTGGGAGTAACCGGGGTGTGATACTCAGGGTATGTAAAATGGTTGTGAACTGTCACATAAGTTATTGAAGCAGACGAGTCCCTTTAAGGGTCCTGGATCTGCAGTGGTAAAATCTTAATTATGCCTCATGATCTGAACACTGTTATAATGGAAATAAAGTGTTTTAAATATAAATTCTGTTATGGACTTGAAAAGCCTCCCAAGGAACCTACACATGGCATTGAGCTCTCAGGTCTCTGCACAGGAATAGAAGATGTGTCGTGCGTGTAATAGACTTTTCACTCTGATTCCTCTTGTTTTTAAAATAAACTTCTCTCCTATGTTGTCCCATGCCTCCCCCCTTCTGATAAATGTGTTTCTAGAAGGCAGGAGACTTAGACTCAATATACAATACTGATTTTTGAACCTTTAAAGATTTTTTTATAAAGTATTGCAGCGTCCATTGCACAGAGTGCAGCCAGTAAATACAGTGAACATAAATGTTTTTTGAGTGTGAATCATGTCTGACCTCTAGAGTTGCCATGTCCTTTCTTGCAGTTGTTCACAACCTCTTTGCAGTTTGCAGTGTCCTTCCCTGACTTGTCTTCATCCATGATGGATTTTCCCTGTCGGCAGGATTCTCTGCTGCAAGGAGGGTTCAGAAGAAGTGCGGAGCTTTTCTAGTAAAGGCCAGATACTTCAAAAAGGAAAATTCTAGGGAATGCTGATAAATTTAAATTGGCTTTTAAGACCCAGTCTCCAGTCCTCCTTAAAAAGATTTAGTCTTTCTGAAAACTTTTGAAATTTTGATGAGAAACCTCTGGAAAACCTTTCTCTGTACAACCTCCTATTTTTTTAGTGTGTGTACTTAGTCTAAAACTATTTTTGCTGTTACTAGTGCCTGAGATAAGTGTTGGCCTGTTCCATCTCAGGCTAGCACACAGGCTTTTTCACAGCATCTCATCAGTCTGCTCAGAAAAACAGCAAAGAGATATAGCCTTGTTTCATAATGGAGTATTTTAAAATCTATTAAAGTCACCTTATGACTGCATCCTAAGGTATGTTTATTGTACTCCTGTTATCCTGTGCAGTCCCTAGCAGCTGCCAAACCTCTGTTTTCCTGGGAAGGGAATAGGTTGAGAGGTGTGAGCCCGAGCTGTGATGTTTCTGCTATCTTTTCGTAGTTTTACCATCCTCCCGTTTAGTTCTGACTTCAGGGTCGGTACAGTCAGTGTCCCCTCAGGCTGTGCCATACAGTGGGGCTAATAAAAACGTAGCGATCTTGTAGACCCTGTAGCACATCTTAGTGAAGTCCTGGGTTGTTTGGGGTGTTTTCTGTGAAAAACAAATTCAAAACCAAAGAAATCAACGCTGGCAAAAAAAGCAACGACAAACTAAAGCAACCCAAAGCGAATGAGTGCAGCGAGGCTGAGGGGAAAGGGCGGGCTCGGGCTCGGCCCCGCTCGGGCTCGTTTCGGTTCGGGCTCGCACAAAGGCTCGGCAGGCTCGGGCTCGTGTTCGGCTCGGGCTCTTTGCGGCTTAGGTTCGGATCTGCTCGGGCTGGGCTCGGCTCGGGCTCGTTTCCCCTCGGTCTCCGCCTCAACCGGGCTCAGGCTCGGCTCGGCTCCACTCGGTCTCCGGCTCGGCTCGGCTCGGGCCGCCACACTCCACGGTCCGCGAAGGCCGCGCCCTGCCCCGCGCGTGCGCACAGCGGGCACCGTCCTGCACGCGGGTGGCGTGCGGCGGCGCAGGCGCGGTGGGCGGCAGCGGGGGTTCGGCGCCGGCCGGTTCGCTGGGCCCGCCCCGCTACCCCCGGCCCCCGCCCGCCGCGCGCCCGCCATGAGCCCGCGCCCGCCGGCCTGAGGCGCCGCCGGTGCCGGAGCGCTCCGCCAAGATGGCGTGTGTGCTGGAGGCGCCGCTCCGCATGAGCGTCCTCTCGGTGAGTACCGCGGGCCGGGCCCTGCCTGACCTTGGCCCCCGCTGGGCCCCGCTGTCCGGCGGCGCCGGGAGCGGCCCTGGGGCTGCGCCGGGAGCGGGGGCGGTGAGGGCGGCGGGGCCGCGCTCCTTCCCTCTGCACCCCGCGCCGCAACTTCTCCCGGCGCTGGTTTGCCCCCTACGAGGAGCCCGTTCCGTGGTTGCGGAGGTACCGGCGCTCTGGACGTGTCGTTCGCTGCTGACGGCTCGGGCTCGCCGGCCCCGGGCAGCTGCTGCTCGGCACGCGGAGGGCCCGGCGCTGTCGGTGCTGTCGGCGCTGCCCTTCCTCGGGGGCTGCGGAGCCGGGCAGGGGCTCCCGGGTGCGCTCGCAGCCCGCCCCGGCTCGGGGGCTGTGCTGGTGCCGGAACCGGGGCTCTCTCCTCGCGGCGTCCCGGCTCCTGCGGCAGGGAGGAGCCGCCGTGCTGGGGGAGCCTGTGACAGCCACCTTCCCTTCCCTTCCCTTCCCTTCCCTTCCCTTCCCTTCCCTTCCCTTCCCTTCCCTTCCCTTCCCGGGGGACGGCCCCGGGCGCGCAGCGGTCCTGCTGCATCGCACCGGTGCTGGGAGTAGCGATGCGAAAGGTGCAGCCCGCGTGCTGCCGCAAGAGCGGAGGGTTGGCGCTTTCCCTTCTGTTTCCTGAAAAATACACGTTGGTTAAGAGTTCCGTGAAATTGATTATGTCGATAATTTTTTTTTTTTTTTTTGAGGGGACTGCCTGCATATGAATACACTTGTACATACTGTAGACTTCGTAGCTGATGGGGTGGAAACCAGCATATTTTAGAAACAGAAAGCTACGGGTTCTTTGAAGTCTAGAAGAGTTTTACATGTAAATACATAGGTCAGATACCTAGAAGTCTATTGCTATTCTCAAAAATACTGTCTTTGGTTACACGGTGGAAGTGTATCTGTAGGACTTACGTGGCATAATTTAACAGTGTTCCTGGAGACAAAGGAGCCTTGCTGCCTCTAGATGATTCTTCTCTGTGATGTGAGACCACAGGCAAGAAGCTGCTGGTGCCTTTTGGCATCGGGGTGGGGAAGCAGGAGTAGGTTCAACTCCATAGCAGATACTTGCTAAAGCAAGGAAGAGTTTTCAACTCTTAGAGCTTCTCTCAAGGAAAACTCATAAGGAAAAAATGGGAAGCTTAATGAAAAGAGAGCTGGCAAAAAGAAAAAAAAAAAAAAAAGAAAAAGAAAAAAGAGAGATATAGTGGCAACACATCCTGGCAAGTGTTCCTGAGAACCTGGAGACCTGGAGGGAAAATTCCCTTCCCCTTTCCCACCCTTGTATTTTGGAATGCTTGCCATCTCTGACTTTTGGATCTTCTCAAAAGGAATAACAAATCAGTGGTGCATAAGTGAGTAGCTTACAAGCACAGTCCTGTTGCTGGGAATAGAATTTTCTTTGTCTTACACAGCACTGTGAGAATGTTGTGGGGAATACTGTGCTGCTGTCCCATTGCAGGTCTGTGGCACAGGCTCTGAAATGTAGGTATGTTATGACAACGTAAGTTACAGAAAAATGTCTTGTGATGAGCTTCCTTCTTTTGGAGAGCTTGTTTGTGGGTATGCTTCTTGAGCAACATTAACTGCTCTTCGAAACTTTTTCTTCCAGGAATTTATTTTTAATCTATATAGTAATTAAACATACTAAAATTGTGATTCAAGGCAGTGCTAATAACTGCAGTTCATAAATAGCTCTCTTTTAACTTGCTTTGACACTTTCGATGTTGTTATCTACATTAAGCACCTCACCTTCTCTAGATTACACTTGAACACAGGGTTATCTTTGTGTGATGTTGCCCAGCAGTAACACACTGCACATTTAAATACAGTTCTGTGGGTTCCCTGCCTCTTGCCTGGGAAGTTTTGTACACTTGCTGCTGCATAAGCCATGTATGGATTGATGTAAACTATTGCAATTGTTTGCTCTCTCTCTGCAGGAGGTCACAGCCAGTAGCCGCCACTATGTCGATAGATTGTTTGATCTCGATCCCCAAAAAGTCCTGCAAGGTGTCATGTAAGTCATTGAAACACTCTTGGGCTCTTGGTTGTGCATAGGCCAGGTGTACTTGATCCCATGAGAGTGATAAGTCAAGGGCAAGAAGCTCTTCCTATGTTTTTTTTAAGAAATGTAGTTGGCAAACCTTAATACAAATATGTCAGTATTGATATAGAGATAGTATTGATATAGACTCTGACTCTGTAGTGCATATGGTTCATAACACAGCCTCCCAGTTGCCAGAAATGAGGTTAAACATTCTGTGAGCACTGAAAATTTTTTTGGATGTATTTCTGCCTTTTGGCCGTGTTTTGCTCCTCTTCCAGATCTGTTGAGACTCTTTGTTCTTACTGCACTGCCAAGTCAGTGTACCTGCCTCTTACTCTTTCCCCTGCTGCCATGCCTGCGTGTTGGCTTTGGCTTTTTTAGTGCTTGGCTTCTGTCTCCCCACGGGAACTGTAAGCTGCAAGAGAATGCTCCCACAGAACTGAATTTGGATGCAAGTTATATTTCAGTACTTCTGTTTCATGCCAGCGGTCAGGGTAGGGACTGAGAGAGTGAGTCAAGGAGCAGGAGTGAAATTGCTGCAAAGCTCTGGATGTTCCCTTGCTGTCCTTAGGCCATGAACTTTCCACTAGAATCACTTTTCCAGCAAAGTAGCAAATGAGTCCTTGCCCAGGACTGACTTTGGTGGTGAAACCAGACCTTTTTGGGCTTACCAGTAGCTTGCTGGCTATGGCTGTCTAGTAGAACACCAGGAGAAATCAGAGGAACAAGTAGATCAAAAAGCCAGGAATGTTGGTTGTGTTGCTTAGCATGACCTGAGGTGTTCCCCAGTAGCAGATGAAAACACTTATTCCAAATGCCTGGGGCAACAAGTGAGTGTCCCTTTAAAAGAACCCAGTCTAGGTAAAACTGTCCCGGAAGTTTTCTTGGTTGGGATACCCCCTTGCCTGTAGAAGAACTTTAGATACCCTGCTGGAACTATGTGCAGGTTCTTAACTCTGCCCAAGGGGAGCCTGGTTTTGCTTCCACCCTTTGGCCTTTGTGGTCCCCTCCTCATAAGGGTGGTGGGGTGGTCCTGGGGAAGGATGTGTTTCATCCAGTGTCCCAGTGGGGTGACCTAGCCCCTCTTTTCTCCCTGGCAGATGCTCTGAGCCATGGCTGGTGCTCCATCCCTGCTCTCCTTCCTTTTCAAAGGACTGGAGCCCACAACCCTTGGTAATCCCTTCCCTGTCTTTTGATATGTTATTCAACTTTTGCAGTATAACTGATCTCCCAGAAACAGGAGTTTTAGGCAGTATCTTTGTCTTGGGTAACATCTGAAATTCATCTTGTCTGTGGGTGTCAGTGGATTCTATGCTGAGATCCTTTTCTTGTATTTAAAGACAAGAAAATACCAATTTATTTCACAAAATCTCTCATAGGGCAGATTTGGATGGTAATACTGTATTTGTGATGCTCTGGCTGAAATCTTAATTGTGAGAGTATCTTTACTGACTCTGAGCCAGTCCTTTGTGGCAGATGTGTTGTTTTTCAAATATTGGTGGGTGGGTGTGTGACAGTCCAATTTAGAAAAAAATTATATAAAAGATGAACAAGAATATGAAAGAATATTAAAATATATATAAAAGATGGAATTTAGAGTAATGTATATATTAAAAATTTCTGTCAGTCCAGAATTCTTTTTGGGCAGAAAAATACTGCTTTGTCCTTCTTTGATTTCAGGGTATATGCAGAGATGTTAAAGATACAATGAGATCTAGTATTTGGGGTTGAGTACGAAAGGATTAAAGTTTTTCCAGAAGAGCCTGTCAGAAGCTTTACCAGATATGCTGCATCCTTTGCAGAAAATCTTTGTTTCCTAAGATGTGCTGGTTTTTCCCTGCATCCTGGCTGGAAATACTGATGACCTAGATTTTTATTTTGATTGATGGAACTGTATGAATATCAAGGATCAGAAAATGGGCTGTTGTAAGAGGCTTTGTTTCGGCCAATTGTCTTCAGTTATGATAGTCCTGTTTTTTGTATGCTTGAATGAATAACTTGGGCTTGAGGCTTTTTTTCGTTGCATCCTTGTAATTTTAATTAAACCCAACTTCTGAATGAGCATTGATAAAGGTAAAATGTACCTAAATGCTTCTTGAACTTGAAAATCATGCCAGTCCAGTTTTCATCTTGTAACTTGAGAAAGCTTTAATTACATATTCTGAAAGCATTTAAATGATTAAAATCTCCTTTTTTCCTTGCTTTCCCATGAATTTTCAGAGAGGTGGTTTTCAGAGTTTTCCTTGTCCAGACAATAAAGCTTTACCTGGTTAAGAGCTTTTTTATTTTCCTTCTACTGGGAAAACAGAAACCATTTCCTTGTCCATTACTGCTGCATGTGGATCTATTGATCTTATTTCAGAATGTCAAGTTTCCTGCAGAACTTCTGTTCCCATAATTTCTGTCCTGCTCATCTGGGTGTGGATAGTGGATAGGAAAGGGAGAATTGTACCTGCCACTAAATCCTGAATTTCTTTTCAGGATTTGAGAAGTTGAGATGACTACTGCCTTTTTTACTGTACCTGGTAGTGCACTACAGTGTTCAGGGGCTGTCTCCATACCCACATCTGTGTGGCAGTGTGTGTATTTACCTTTTACTTACTGTCTTTGTAGATGGGCAAGGTTAATACAGAAGTTCCCTTCTGTAAACCTGGACTCTAAATTGTGGCCATGCTTGTGCTTCAGAGGTCTTTACAGGTTTGCTTTTTGTCTCCTTAGGTGCTCCTGTGACCCTTCCCTCTTGCTGTTGTAGAGCTCAGGTTTTCTCCAGTGTGCTCAGAGTGCATTCTGCAAGGTCAGCACTGATGTCAGGTGTGCAGCTCTTGAGTGCAGCTTGTGTTGGCAGGGCTTACATTGCCTCACACAGATACTGCAGTGCATTAAATGCTGTGGTCTCTCTGAGGTTCTCTTTAGTGTTTTGCTGTTATTGGCAGAGGAACAGAACAGAAGTGGTTCTGTAAATTTCTGTGCTTTTATAAGAGCTTCCTTTGTCCCAAGGTTGTTCCCGCAGGATCATTTGGTGCTTTGCAGTATTTTTTTTTTAAAGCATATCTGGGTTGTCATCCTCAGACTGTCATTTGCTTTTCACCTGCTCTTAAGCTCAGAACCACATTGTTCAGATGCAAGACTGATACCTCTTTTCATCCTCTAATTTTTTTGCTGGTCAGGGGCTTCTTTGAGGGACATTTTATTGTGATTACATTTAGCCTGGTGCCTTCAAAGTGGCAATCTATCATTTTATGGAGAACTGTGTAATCCCACCTCAAGGCTGGGCTTGAAAGGGGCATCTTTTCTGACAAGCCTGACTTACTCAAGGTCTCAGCTGTTTCTCATCAGGCTATTCCTCAGCAGTCAGAGGATGTCATCCTTTAAGACTTGTAAATTACCATCTTTGTGGTGCACTGAGAATTCCTGTGCTACTGCTGTTCCTGTCCTTTATGGCCAGCAGGAATTAGCAGACAAGTGTTTTCCAACCTTGTGTGAGCATTTTGTTTCTCAGCACAATGAAAGAAATATCCTACAGAAATGGCACATGGTACTCACACAGTGTGTGTTTTGCATCCAACTATTTTATTTTTGTAGTTTGGATGTGTAATAAATGCTCTGGGCACAGGTTTAGATGGCTGTGTAATAGTGTGCTGTGTTCTCAGCTGTGACTGTTGGAGGGATCATCAGTGCAGTGTTCATACATGACCACCACAAAAACTCTGAAATATGAGAGGCAACTTCATGAAGTGGGAAGAGAGGAAATTCCCATCTCAGTTCTAATGGAGCAACAGTTACCTCTCTTCAGACAGTTGTGAAGGGGCTACTTTTTGCTTCTTGTTCTTCTTGTCTGTTAAACTTTCTGTAACACTAAGTGATGAACAGCACTTGTTTCCACATTTTGCATCTCTAAACAGCTGCATCAGATTTTCAGTCTCAGTGGGCACTTGTGAACCTCAGTTTTCTGCAGAAGCTTTTTTGGTTTTGTGCATATTCCCTTGGCCATGTGGAAGTAGAGCAGTCCTTAGAGGGTTGTTCCTGTCATAGTTTGCCCCTGTGCATTTGGGTCAATTCTGTTGTCTCCTCGGCAGTACACTGTAGTAAATGCATATCCTCCCTGAAACTTGGAGGTGTTATTGGCTAACAATAAGCCAATAATTGATGTAATTTTTTGAAGCATTGTTTTTGTGCAGAGTCATTCATGTATAGAGGGAGGAGGCTCCTGAGTTTCTTGTTGGTGCTTTGTGAACTGCAGGCTGGGCTCTTTATGGCTTGGAGCTGCAGGATGTGACAGAAATTGGAGCAGGTTTAGGTAGTGCTGGGAGCACTCCTCTGCTTGTTGGATTTTTTGCAAAAGCTGAGCTCTGAAAGAAGGCTTTTTGGAGGAAGAGGAGGAACTGAAAGGCTTAAACATCTGAGCATTAAGTAGTGCTCTGTGAAGAGGGGCTTCCAGTGCAGTGGTTTTTGTAGTCACGTGGAAGGATGGTGTAGACGGGGGAAGAGAGGGAGATGCACTTCAGTGCAAGTGTGTTCCTGTCACAGAGAAAAGGTGCTCTCACTTTTGCAATTTTTTGTAATGCAGCAAAAGGTACATATGCTTTTTTTGGCAAGTAAGTTGTTATGTATTGTAACTCCTGGTGTAATACTTAGAGGTGGGCTAAACTTCAGGTGTACCTATGATATTTGGCCAGCAATCTTGAGCCTCACAGGGATGTTTAATATTTCAAGCCTTGCATTTACTGCTCTGAGCCCATGAGAGAATGATGGTTATTGACTCAATTTCACTGCTACTTTAGAGATGGCTGTGAAGCCACTTTTCTCCAAGAGCCCTCTGTTGATACAACCCTCACTGTGGTGATACTGTTGCTATCATGTCTTGAGGCTCTGAGGAGGGAGGAGGAGCAGCCTCTGTCAGACTGGATGATGGAGCTGGAGAGGATAGGGTCACAGGAGTGCTGAGGTGGGACCCAGTAACAGAGCTCAAG